GAGGTTGCACTTTAGAATCAGGCAGCCCTGGGTTCAAGTGCAGTTCCAGGCCAGTCTTCTGTGAGGTGAGAGGATCAAACCCAACTCAGAGGGCTGTGAGGCAGTTGGGTACATGGTGCCAGGAGCTCCCCACCGCACCTCTGAGCCACAGTGATCGTTGCTGCAGGGCTGGGAGCCTTGCCCCACTCCCTGTGCCATTGTCTCCTGTGAGTGTAAAGAGGGTTCCTGTCTATGTTACCTCCGGGTGGGCATGGATTCCATCGCTATTAGAGTGGCTGTTGTCAGAGCAGAGTGCTGCTGCTGGTACTGAGATGATTGAGAAGTTTGCACTTCCTGGAGGCTAGCAGGGGGCTTCTTTGAGAGCCTGGGGGCTCCCACTGGGGGAGGAGGAGCCCAGGAGAGAGTGATGGGAGCCAAGGGCAGCAGTGTGGCCATGAACGTGGGAGAAGGGACTTTCCAAGGGGCGCAGTGACCCACACAATCCTGCACCCCTAGCTGAGAGCAGGAGTGGGGGGCGGGTGGCATACAGGAGTCTTCGTGAGGTGCAGACAGCTTGTGAGGGAGCCCGCGTAGACTCTGGCCACCTGCAGAGCCTGGAGGGGAGGACTTCCGGGGCACCCTGCACCCATGATAACAAAGGCATCTGCACACCTTGTGTGTTGTCAGGGTGTTTGTATTGGGGACAGCAAAAGCCACCCAGGGCCCATCGGCAAAACTGGGGTTTGGCACGAGGGAGGGGGAGGAGGCTGAGAAAGCCCTGGTGCTTACTGCTGTAGAGACACCAGCCCAGTAGCATCTCTGAGACAGGCCCTTGCAAAGAGGCCCTGGTTAGTGCAGTGATGGCGAACCTATGACACGCGTGTCAGAGGTGACACTCGAACTCATTTTTTTGGTTGATTTTTCTTTGTTAAAGGGCATCTAAATATATGAAATAAATATCAAAAATATAAGTCTTTGTTTTACTATGGTTGCAAATATCAAAAAATTTCTATATGCGACACGACACCAGAGTTAAGTTAGGGTTTTTCAAAATGCTGACACGCCGAGCTCAAAAGGTTCGCCATCACTGGGTTAGTGTCAAGTTCACAGTGATGTGCCCCTTCCCACTCTGCCCTTGGAATCCTGAGGACCTGTGTTTCCTTTCCAGGTGAGAGTGGGGCCACGGGGGCCATCGCGGGCTGCCTGTTCGGACTGCTCCACGGCCTGGGCGCTGTTCCCGAAGGCCTGCACCAGGAGCTGGAGCACAGGGCGGAGCTGCTGCACCTGGGCGAGGCTCTCCACCGCCTGTCCACGGAGGAGAAGTAAAGCACCTCCCCTGCCAGGGAGACCTCCCAGCCCCGGGGCCCCAGGGGAGTCCACGCGCTGCTCCCCGACTCTCCGCGCACTGAGAGCTCATGCCCAACTGACCGTGCTTATAAAATACATTATTTGTCCTACAAGAGTATTGTTCCTATCCTGGCCCACATCCAGTGCATGATGGAGGTCACCCTGGATTTGCTACCCTCAAACCTCCACATACAGTGGTCGCAAGTAGTCTCTTGGACAACTGGTGTATTTTATTCTGCTGCATAGCTAATGCTATTCGCTCACTCACTTCAACTAACCACCAGGACTCCGCTCAGAAGGGCCTCCTCCATCTGCAGAACCTCCCGCCACTGCCTGTTTCTAGCTCTTAGACACGCACTTCAGCCACTGCCCACCTGCTCCCCCGCCCCAGCCGTGCGTCCCTCCCAGGCACCTGCTGTCCTTGCGATCTCATGGCCATGTTTCCCCATCAGAGCAGTCAGTATGCGTGCCTTCAGGATGCAGCCAAAAGCACTTCGTTTAACCCGCCAGCCTACGTTTTTAATCACACTAGATCTTTAGAGCCACCCTTTTGGAACAACTAAGTGAGGAAACCAGGCCACACAGTTCTCACGCCAGCACCCGCCTCTTTCTTCCCCGGGTCTGCAGCTGTCACGCGCGCGTGCGTGGGTGCGGCCCAGGCTGCAGAGAGGGCCTGTGGCCGGCTCCACCCGGATTTGCTGAAGGAGACACAGCTGCTCCCTGTGGCCCATGTTTCTCTCTCTGAGAATCTTGAAAAGGAGATAACGTGCTCTTGTTAAAAATAACCGTGGACACTATCTTTCTGAAGTAGCATCTGGTGTGAATAAAACTGCAGTTGGTGACTGACGTCTAACATGGCGCTTTGGCGGCTTAGCTGGGCTCTATCTTGTTGATGGTGACATCTTTTCATTGAAAGTTTGACTCCGGGCACAGCCAGGCGAGGCGCCCAGAGCCCCCGGGATCCCGGTATTCGGGGGTGCCTGCTCTCAGACCCTCAGAGGACACTCAGACCTTGAGGTTTCCTGAGACCACCTGGTCTCCCCCAGGCACCCTGCCTCCCCTGCCGGGCACCCTGGTGTCCTGGGCTGTGGAACAGGACAGGATAGTTTCGATAGAATACGTCCCTGTCCATTTCTTAGGGAAGTGTGAAGGTCTCCCTCCAGGTTGATGAAAGAACCCGTGGGCCATTGTCTACTAGGCGTATTGCACCAAAGTGTTTTCCACATCAGGTTTCTGAATAACGGAACTAACGTTTGCTGCTACTGACGCTTTTCAGTCAAGAGAGGCAGCAAGACAGACAGAGTGGGTGAGGGGTTCTCCCATCACCCCAGGGTCCAAGCCAGGGTTAGTGGGCGTGCAGAAATTAACCGAGAGTTATCTTCCAGGAAAAGAAACCCAAGTAAGGTAAGTTGGCACTTTTCCTAGAGGTACATAACACAGCGGCTTACAGTTTTAAAGGGATATCTGGATTTACCAGCTTGCCTTAAGAGTGGCCCTTCCACTCTGCTGTGCAAAAGAGAAGTGGATCTCAAGCGAGTTGAGTGCAAATGGTTTAGAAGGAAGTCACTCGGTCTGCACCTTATTGACAATTTAGGAGAATTCAAACCACCCTTAAGAATCGGGGAGTGGCCCTGGCCAGTTTGCTCAATGATTAGAGCATTGGCCTGTGGACGGAAGGATCATGGGCTTGATTCCTGTCAAGGGAACGTACCTCGGTTGTGGGTTCACTCTCTGCCCCTGATGGGGGCCTCTAGGGAAGGCAACCAGTTGATGTGTCTCTCTCACATCAATGTTTCTCTCTCTCACTCTCTCTCTCTCTCTCTCTCTCTCTCCCCTTCCTCATCCCTCCTTTTCACTTTGAAAATTAATGGGAAAAATATCCTTGCGTGAGGATTTTTTAAAAATATAAGAATCAGGGAATGAGTCTATTTACAGATTAATTATAAATTAAAACATATAAAGAAAAATTTATAAGCATCACAAATTAGTGAAACTGCTTCCCCATTTCATTGTCCTATTACAGGGAAATGCAGAAGTTGAAAAGAAAAACAAAACTATCAAAAGTAATGAATACTGCACCTACTTGAACTTTTAGAAATGTAACGCTTGCTGATTGCATTTTTATTATAAAAGTGGTACATGGGCGCAGCTTCAGAAATTCAAATGTCATTATTAAATGTGTGTGGAAAGTAAGATTCTTCCAAACCTCAGCCAGACTCACATCACCAGGCCCGAGAGAAAGCCGTAGGTTGTGATGCCTGTGTCTCCTTCCAGAAACCTCCTCTACACAGACAACCAGGGGTTTGTGTGTGTTGCATACTTGCATCTGTGTGTTGTGCTAACACACACACACACACACACACACAGACACACACACACACATATACATGATTACTCTCCACAAATAAGTTTATAGCAGTCATAATGGTTTCCTTTGGATTTATTCACTTAATTGGTTTTTAAATATTTTTCAGTATCATCATATATATACACATATATATCTACGTGTTGCTTTTTATTCCATTTACATAGGGGCCATATTGATGTCATCCTTAAGTTGTTTTCGTTTTCCAAGTGGAATTTTAAAACACTGCTTCTTATGTTTACTTCAAAATGTTGCTTCCCCATCTCGTCTGGAAAGAAATTAAACATTAATTAATAGCACGGTGATTTCTTAATTCCAGAATGCATTTGTTTTTGCATTTAACATTTCTAAAATTGAGATGCAGTGTATATTTCATTGTGCCTGATCACTTAATTGGCAGAGTTTATTTTTCTTTTCCTGAGATTTACAAAGTAACAGCGCCTCTTACAATCAATATCACATTATATCCAAGAATGCTAATGCTAAACACCACGTGAGATCACAGCCCCTGTAGACTCAGATGAGGGGGTGTTATTACCTCTTATTCCCAGGTGACAAGAAAGGATGACTCAGTGGCAGGTGTGTGTCGTGAGATGTGACTGACCACACCCTGTTTTCCTCCGACCCCTATAGCCCACACCCCTTTATTCATGGCCCCATGGCTGACGCAGCACATGGAAGGTGAGGTCTGAGCCGGGGACTCTCGGTGGACTGGGGCCATGGCTAGGACATGTCATGGCCGTCAGGAAGGGTTTGCCCTCTGGCGGCCCCTGTGTCCCACGGACAGGCACACGGTTCCTGTGGCTCCAGTATTGGAGCAGGTTCTCTGTGGTGCTCACAAGTTTTCCAACTTCAGGCTGATTTCGATGAATTCATGTCCCCAAACTCTTTGGTTTTGCATTTATATTTCATGGGATTGGGGCCGGTAGTGAACGGAGAGTGGAAATGTAAATCCAGCCTGTCTGACAACCCAAGTCCTACCTCTCAATCTCCAGCCGGCCACCCTAATTCAGCGAGACTTGACCACAGTCCGGAGTCCCCCAGGGGGACCCTCAGTGAATTAAGAAACCCCAGCACCCCTAGCAGACAGAACGGAAAAAATCGATCAGATGTCAGCTGACGGAACTGCCCAAATTAATGTCCCCTCCAAACATAGGGTTTTACACACTTCATCCCAAAGCCCCTTTAAGTGGGAGTAACTTTTAAGTAGTAGCGCAGGCACTGTGACCACTTGGGTGAAGAATTCTTCACGTGTTGACTTATTTCTAGTTTTCAAGTAGAAATAAAGTGTAAGCTCCCACAGAGTATCATGGGGGGAATCCACACGGGAAGGAAAATGTCAGCCTTGAGCCTCCGGGTGGGCTCTGGGTGCCCCAGCACTGAGCGAGACGGCAAGCCCGCGAACGGGAGCTTCCGCATGTGCAGCGGAAAGGGCAGCGGCTCGGGCACCAAGTGCTTGACACACTTCATCTGGATGGGCACAGCGGGCGCTGTGACGGTGCCCAAGCTGCAGGCAAAAAGGTGGGCTCACAGCCCATCACACGGCCCACAGGCAGCACTTCGGCCTCAACAGCCACCCAACCACCACCCTCATCACCATGGGGACCTCCCACAGGAGAGTGACGCTGGGAACACGGGCCTTATCTGAGCCCGAAGCTCCCTGGTGTAGATAGCCTCATGTCCCTCACTCCTGAGAAAACCCAGAGTCCTCCCCCTGGCGCCAGGCCTGCGGTGTCTGTGCACTGCCGGGTCCCCAGTGTGACCGCTGACCAGGGCTTATCTGTGCTCTCAGGGTCCTGGAATGCACTTGTCTCCCGTGGCTTTGCTCTCTCCTGTCCATCCTAATTGTTTGTTTTTAAGTACTTCACACACAGAAGTTACCGAAACAGCTCAAAGAACTCCCATGTTCCCTTCACCCAGCGTCACCAACTGTTAACACTGGGCTATATTTGCCTTATTATTTTTTCTCCCTCTCACTGCACACACAGACACACATAGACACAGGTATACACTTACACACAGACACACAAAGAGAGGTGTACACACACACACAAAGAGAGGTGTATACATACAGATACACACACAAAGGTATATACTTACACAAAGAGAGGTGTACAGACACACAGAGGTATACACTTACACACAGACACACAAAAAGAGGTGTATATACACAGATACACACACAGGGGTATGCACACATGGATACATATACTGACATACACACAGAGATATATACACTCCACACACACACACACACACACACACACACACACACACACGGCAGTAGTTGTAATTAAGTGTGAGAGGAGTGTTTTAAGAATGCTTGCTCACTTATTAAATCTCAGGGCCTGGAAAAATATTCAAGACTCGGGGGCCTCAGTCAGCTGGGTTGGACAGGCACCCCTCTGTCCACCACAGCCAGGGCCACGCCTGTGAGGTTCAGGTGCATGGCCATGGGGTACCCCAGCCCAGAAGGCCACCCACCAATTTGTAGCCAGATTTATTTCAAGGAAAATGCAGAGGTTCAGTTCTCTGACTGATTCATTGGCACAATTTCAACTGTGAGTTCCTTAGTCACTAACAAAAAATATGGAATAGTCAACAGACATTGGTTATTGAGCTTTAGTAGAAAAATAGTTACCGTTAAAATGAGCCTACAGATTATGATTAATACTCAACATTAGAACTGGCCTTACGAGCTCACCACTGTAATGGCCACATGGGCTGGCTGTTAGCCGCCCACCCCAGGCTGCTGTCTGGTCCCTGGTGAATGACGTGGGTGCCCCAAAATAGGGACCACCCTCACCCTCCCATGCTCTGATCCAGTGACTTTGGGGTGCAGAGGTCCATACTGAGAGGCCTCCGTGGGAACGGTTGGGGGTTGGTGGCTGGCACAGCCAGGCCACTGGAAAAGGCTCCACTGAGCAAGGGCATCTGAACCAGACTGTGAAGGATGAATAGGAGCTCGTCAGGCGTGCGGCTGTTCCAGGCCAGGAGGCTCAGTATTGGCAAAGTCTGGAAATGGGAAACAGCACAGCCTGGTCAGGTGGCAGATGCTCAGGAGACTGGCACTCCAGAGACGGAGTGAGGCAGGGCAGGGAGCCCGGAGAAGGTCCAGGGAGGGTGAGCGGTACCTGCTGCTGCTCGAAGCTTCAGGCACACCTTGCAGTGACCTGTAGGGTGACCCAAAGCCTCCAAACAAGGCCCTTCCATGGGCGTTTGCTGAGTGCCTGCGCTGGTCAGGCTTGCTGACAGCCCCGGAGGAAAGTGGGGAACAAAATGAGTGCCTGCCTATGTGGAGCCACACACAAAAACATGCTTGTGTGTTTGCAACTGCACTTGAGTCTCAGAGAATTAAAAATGCTCCAGCGACAGCTATCCAGGGGATGTGCTGGAGAGCACTGTGGGTTGTGTGCTCAGAGAGTGACCTCAGGAGGGGATGCGGGAAGCCCTGAGGGCAGACTGCACTAAGCAGAGGGAACAGTTTGAGCAAAGGCCCTGTGGTAGGAATGAGCTGGGAACATTCGATGGCCAGTGCAGCTGGAGCATAGTACAAGGTGGGCCACGTCAAAGGGCCAGATGGGCTGAGCTCCTGGGCCTGAAGAGCAGGGTAGGAGTCCCTGCAGGGAACGCGGAGCCCAGCTCAGTAATGACTCATTGAAGGAGGTCATGCCATGCCCCTTCTCTTGTCACAGTCCCAGGATGTCGTCCTGCATCTGTCATACTTCAGATGCCACCGGCTCATGGGCAAGGCCACCTTGGCAAGGCAGGGCTCACCTAAAAAAGCACTTTATGGTCCTGGTGAATCTCCTATTCCTTGGCCTATAAATCTTAGAAAAGCATTGTGACCTTCTCAGGAGAGAAGGCATTTCTTAGCTGATTATGAAAGCATTTCAGAATGTTTTGAAACTCTACCCGTGGGCTGGCAGATAAAGCCAGTTGTGATATAAACCTGGGGCTCTCCTAGGCTGCTTGGAGCATCACTGAGACATGGAGTTTTGGGGGGCTGTTCGCTTAGTGGGATGCTGATCAATGTCTTGATAACACAATCAACCTCATAACTGGCTCACCAATGTACCTGTGATGTGGAAGCCCTGAGCTGGAACAGTGAGCTGGCGTGGCATAAGACTTGTCCCAGTAACGCACCGTAAGAAGGACATACGGCAAGCCCAACCGGGTACGTGTCATTGTCACCATGCAGGAGCACCACTGTCCTTCCCAGAGGAGACGGATGCTCAGCATTGAAACCATGCGTGGAGCACGGGGAAGCTGGTGTCTGGTCGCTGAGATGTGCCGCAGACTGACGAGAGGGTCATGGATAAAGTCAGCCTCGAGCTTCCTGTGTCTCCGATTCGCCTCCTAAGACAGGAGGCTGACAGGGGTGTGCTGTCAGCTGCATTCTTCATCTTCCTATTTAGACCATGGGACTCAGAACCTGTTGGCAAGGTACACGGAGCGGCGGATGAGCTCAGACACGGCTGACCCTCGGGGCCTTGTTCAGACACCCGAATGTCCCAAAGGACGTTGTCGGTGTAACTATTTCAGTTATCTGAATGACTCAACCTGCGAAGTCATAAAGATGATTGAAATGACCAAGTGAGCAAATGACTCCAAGCTGGGAGGCCGCCCTGCAACGTGACTCGGGAGGCCTGGAAGCTTGGTCCTACCTGGGACCAGGCCAGGCTGCCTCCAGGCCCCTCCTGGCAACTGAGTCCTAGATCCAGAGGCTCCCACGTGGAGTGTGGACAGCCGACACTGGCGCTGAATCGCTGTCCCTGCTGCTGTAACCCTTCCGCATTTAGCCGGGCTCTCCGCACGTCGCCGTCAGCGTGGGAGGCTCGTTGAGAGACGGGAATGATGATGATGCAGGAGGCCCTCAGCACACTGCTTAGTCACAGGTGTGTTATTCAGTCCGTAAAAGCCTACGGAGGACCCACCGTGTGCCAGGCACCGAGCTACGTGTTTCACTCTGTGGGAAGAGTCTCACGTAATGTAGTGGAGATAGATGTTAAGTAATCAGGCCAAGAATTCAGTATGACCGTGAGGGTGCTGCCAAAGAAACGCTCTCGAGCCTGGCCTGCGTGGCTCAGTGGAGCATCGACCCACGAAGCCAGTTCGATTCCCAGTCAGGGCATATGCCGGGTTGCGGTAGGGGACATGTGGGAGGCAGCTGATCAATGATTCTCTCTCATCATAGAAATATCTGTCTCTCCCTCTCCCTTCCTCTCTCTGAAGTCAATTTAAAAACACACACATATTTTTACCCTAGCTGGTTTTGCTCAGTGGTTAGAGTGTAGGCCTGAGGATTGAAGGGTCATGGGTTCAATTCCTGTCAAAGGCACGTACCTCGGTTGCAGGCTCAGTCTCTGGTCAGTGCGTGTGCGAAAATAACCAATTGATGTTTCTCTCTCTGTGTCTCTCCCCCTCCCTTCCACTCTCTCTAAAAGTCAATGGAAAAAATATCCTTGGGTGAGGATTTTCAAAACAAAACAAAACAAAAAGGGGTCAGGGAGGACCTCCTTGAACGGTGGCACTTACGCCAAGACCTGAGCAAGGAAGATGAGGAAGGTGGGGTAGAGTGGCAGAAAGAAAGAGGAACACTTGGGAGAGGGCAGGCGGAGCAGCTTAGGCCCAGTAACCAGGAGGAACTGGTACAAAGTGAGGCTTGAGTCTTGCGGGCCTCGCTGGCAGTTCACGTTCAATTCTAAAGTCAGTGGAAGCCACTGTCCGGATGCCACCTTCGCTGGCGTGATTCAGAGACAACAGCAGGCGGGAGCGGAGCCGAAGCAAGCAGAGGAGGTTTTTGTGTCGTCAGAGAGGGTGGCAGAGACAATTCCTCCATCCTAGGCCATAGGACTGCAGAGCTCAGCCACGCATGGGTGTGGGTGTGGGTGTGGGAGCCAAGGATGACTGGTGTTTCTGGGGGCAGCAGGAGCCATCTGCCAAGGCAGGAAAAACGGGAAGAGGGATTGGGGTGCAGGGAGGTTGGTTCAGCCATGTGTGATGTGCCTGTGAGGCCCCAGATGTCCACCAGGCTCTGAGACCTGGGCAGTTCCCAGGGGCGATCCCCATGATGTTCCACGAAGCTGAACACCGACCTCATCCTGGTTCTGCACTCGGTCAGCCCTGTGAACTCCAACAAGCCACTGACTATCTCCAGCGTTGATTTCCCAGACGAGGAAGGGGTGACAACCATCCCTAAGAGATAAGGAGACACAGTGAGGCAGCCAGTGTGAGGAGCAGGGCGCTCACCAGCAGGCACTGGAAAAGCGCCCAGGGAGTTAGTGGCAGAGCGTCATGGTGAGTTCCACTGAGCCAACCCAGAGATGCCCACGGTCCGTGTGCCTCTGGGAAATAAAAATGCCACCAGCCGATCAAGCTACCCACCAGGCCATGATGCCATCGGTCACTACATTCCTCTTATTTCAGAGATGTGAGACGTAACAACTCTCGGATCGTGGATGGGGCACTGCATTGAGCAGGGCTTTCCCCTGATGCCCCAGCATCAGCCACAGGGACCAGCTCCCCCCTCCACCCCTAATCCATCCCTATGGCTCCTGGGCCAGGTCTCTTTCAAGCTGCCTTTGTAAGATTGACAGATGCATTGAGGGCTGTGGAGGAAGCCCCTGAAATGCTTTGGCCTGAAGCACTGAGTCCCTGGTGTTGGCTGCTGTTCTCAGGTCAAAGGAGGCCTCAGGTAACCTGGTGCAGCCCTTGGTGAGGGACCTAACCCTATGGGAGAGAGGCCGTCCCTGCCGACCACCTGGGGTTCAGGGGAAGTGAGCAATGTGGCAATGATGCCGGGCCACAGACAGGTGAGGTGTGATGCCAACCTTCTCAAATAGGGCAGGAGGCACCAAAGGCTGAAACAGCACAGAACTTGACTGCTCCTCTGCTCCTCTGTCTTCCCTAATCCCTGATGCTGGTCCAGGACCTTTAGCGGCCAAGTGGCGGGGGAGGGGGGCTTTTCAGTTTTGAGGACACAGCCAGGCACCGTCCCGGGTGGGCTGGCCCCTCCTGCCGGTTCTCAGTGAGCATCAGGCCTCTCGGCCTCGTTGGTGCTGGTGGGCGGCCGTGTCCCCTGGGATGTCTACGCAGCTGTTACTCCTAGGTCGTGCTGGCTCGCACCACGTCGTGGCTTAGGTGTGGGTTCAGATATTGTTCTGTTTTAGGAGCCTAATCCACTGTGTTCTCCAAATCTCCAGTTGTCTGAGGTTGAGAAAGAGCTCAGTCTATCCCGGTGGTTCTCAAACTGGGGTCCCTGGCCGGCAGCATCGGCTACGCAGGGAACTTGTTTGAAATGCAAGTTCTTGGCCCCTCAGAGACAGACTGAGTCAGAATTGTGGTGTGGCTGCCCAGCGCTCTGGGTTTTAAGGAGGCCTCTCAGTGCTCTGATGTCTTTGAGGGCCGGAGACATCCGACACTTCCTGTGTGAATTCACTGCATGAAGGTGAATTTGAGGCTGCCAGGGAGGCTAAGGAGGCAGAACTCCAAGGTTATGTTTGCCTTGAAATTCTGTGTATTGAGATCCATCCCCCGGCATTGGGTGATCCTGTGGGCTCACCCAGTGGGCGGGTCAGATTCATCCCTGTCCGCCGAAGGGGAGGGCTGCTGGTGCTCCCCCATCACAGTGGCACGTAAGTGATCAGGACAGCTTTTCAAAAGGACATTTGCATGTGGCTTCTAAAGATAGAACTCTCTTTTTTTGGAAAAATGCATGGAAGTACAAAAAGAAAAATACGTTAGTGTATTTCCTTCCCATCTGTCTTCAGTCTCTGTGTGTCCGCGCCATTCTTTTAAAAACACAGTTGGGCCAAATCCACATACAGCTTTGCAGCTTGCACTTCCAACTTTTCATCACAAGCACCTTCCTGCACCAGATCATTTCCCTGTAAATACTTGTGTTATCTAAGCAGCCTGGGCTTAGGCAGGTCGGGCATTTCCAATTATGTTTGTATTCTAAACAGCCGTGAAGACTTTCCATGCACCACAGAACCTTTGCTCTACTTCCTGGTCATGTCCTTGGAGCCCTGGGTGAGGGACCTAACCCCACGGGGCCGGATCATGGCGAGGCTACAGTTCTGGGTGCAATTTGACAAAATACCGTCCGAAAAGGCTGGGGGTGGTTCTCCCCACCAGGAAGGACAGACGCTCTGGCTCTGACAGGGCAGCTGGCAGGTGCACCCCTGGGTGCCAGCCGCTCAAGAGAGAGCCGCTCAGCCCGGATGTTCAGAAGCCTTGTCATAGATCAGAGACCCCTCCCCCAAGAGAGCTGAGGTCCCGCCTGCAGTGGCTTGGCTGAGATGAAGGAATCCGGCAGCCTTGCTGAGAAGGGTCTCACAGGCATAGAACGGCGGCGTGCTGATGGCTCGGGCCTCCCTCTGCGTGAGGGTTTCTCTGGGAGCATTTTCAAAGGGGTTCTGGAAGGCAGGTCCCAGCGGTGCCCCAGCCCTCTTGCCACTCCGTGGCAAAGCCCTCTCCCGACTGCTTTGGGGTTCACCACCCACGGCCCAGGTGTTCTGCCCCAGTGACCCCCACTCCGAAGCTGAGTCCTCTCATACCCAGGGCTGGGGTCTCGCTGATTGCTCTCAGAGGCTTGGTTTGTGATTGAGTCAGGACATAGCTGTGATGGTAACCTCATCTCTCATATTAAAGTGAGAGATATGCACAAACCCACACATAGAATATAAGTGCTTTATGCTTGCTTCCGCCCCATTTATTCCAGGTATGATATTGTCCACTATAAAAACATTAAATACCTTACACATGAAAAGTCGTTTTAAAAACGGCTTTCACAGAACTATTTAATGTCAACCAGCCAGAGCCCTTAGGAGGGTATTAGGTCAGAAATGATTGCTCTTTCACAGAAAAGGGAACAGCCACCCAGGGAGGTGATGGGCGTCCCTGACATCCCTGAGTTATGGGCGGGGATGCACTAGACTACAAGTCTCTTGCCTCCCACTCTTCTGTTCTTCCTCCTGGAATCCTTGGGTATTTAAAATAGGATTGTGGTCCAGCTGGTGTGGCTTAGTGGTTGAGTGTCAACCTATGAACCAGGAGGTCACGGTTTGATTCCCAGCCAGGGCTCAATCCCCAGTGTGAAGACATGCAGGAGGCAGCCAATCAATAATTCTCTCTCATCATTGATGTTTCCAGAGTGTCAGGATTTGCAGCAGTAAGACACCTGTTGATGCCCAAGCCCTGAAAAAGAAGGTCAGCAAGGCGATCTGCGAACCCGCTGTCTGTGCCATCCTCAGAAGCCTGCTGCTCTACATCACCCACCGTGAGGACGGGCCCCAGGGGCTGCCCCCCACCAAGAGGACAGAGAGCGGAGACAGCCAGGGGAGCCGGAAGCCCGAGCCCCAAGACGCCAACAGGCGGCCCACGCGTTTCCAGCTCCTGCAGGCCAAGTTCATGGGCACTGGCCGGGAGCCCTGGCTCAAGAAGACCCAGGAGGTGGGAAGGCTGATCTTCAAGGACAAGCAAGGCCCAGGCAGGAGCGTGGTGGCCACCACCATCAACAAGCTCCTGGAGAAGACCGGGGAGGGGGCCGGTGGTTCCGCGGGGGGCCAGGAGCCCCTCGGCCGTGATAAGCCCCGGGGGGGCCTGCCCGGCGGGAGAAACACCGTGAAAAACATTCTGAGGAAGTTCCTGGCCGCAGAGGAGAAGGAGGCTGAGGAGAAGAGGCTGCGTGAGCAGCCCCCTGCGCAGCAGTCCAAAGCCGCCAGGGGCCTCCTGCCGAAGATCGTGGGCAAGAAGGGCTCGGTGCTCGCCAGGCTGCGGGAGAAGTTCGAGCAGAGCGGGGGTCTGTGCTCAGAGGCCGGCGTGCTGCCGCTCCGCACGGAGGAGCGAAAGAAGAAGAACCTGCAGCGGAAGAAGATGCACCGGCCCGAGGCCCGCGTGCTCTGCACGGCCACCTTGGCCAGCTCCTGCATCAGGATGCCCCCTGCCCGCTTTCTGGCCTGCTCGGCGGAGCCCATGCCAGCCTTCAGCATCGCCACCATCGTTGGCGGCCCCCGGAGCTGGCTGTCCCACTGCGCCAAGATCAGACCCTCGGACCTGAGGCGCATGCCCCCAAAGGAAACCGGCAGGCCCCCCAACGCGGGGGAGATGGTGCCTGATGGGACCCAAACACCAGGAAAGGGGCTGCTGGATGGGGGACCCCCCCAGGCCTTGGTAGCACAGGCCGTGGCTCCCACCCTGACAGCAGCCTCCCTGAGTGCAGGGCCTGAGTGCCTCCCTGAGCCGGCCCCCTCGCCTGCCTCCCAGAGCCCGGAAGCCCCTCCTGGCCTGGAACCCAAGTTCTCTTTGCTCACACCAGCCAGCCCAGCGCACGCCAGGGTGTTGGGAGGTGACGGGATGGAGGGCCCTCCGGCAGGCCTCACCTCAGATGATTCCCAGGGGGCGGAGGGGCCAAGGGCAGGCCCCCACACCGGGCCCCCAGGTGAGGGAGCAGAGGAGGCCCCGCAGGTGGACCTCATGGTTTGCAGTTCAGAGGATGAAACGGAAAGAGGGATTTCAGACTCAGAGCAAGACCCCCTCTTTGCCGTCCAGGAGAATTTTCCGGAACAGCCAGTCCTGGGACAGATCCCACCGCTCAGAATGCCAGCCGCCCAGGCTGCCCGGCGCCCCCAGCTGGCCTGCGAGTCTCCGCAGATAACCGTCAGGCTCCCGGTGGTCCACGAGATGCCACTCCCTCCCGCCGCGCTGCAGGAGGCAGCGGGTCATGCGGACCCACCGTCTCCTGTGTGGGGAGGAGAGAGCGAGGTTGAACATACACCCGCGCCATTTCCCACTACGACGGGGAGTAAAAGCACCAAGGTGGCCCCGATGGGAGCGGGCCAGCCTGCAGAGACGCCCAGGGGACTCAGCACCCCTTCTCAGCAGGACTCCTGGGCAGACCTGGCTCTCACACCCCTAAGGGGTGCTGCCAGCATTGATGGTGACACCCCAGAGGCAGCTCTGACGCTGAAACCTCCAAGTTCCGCTGGCGGAAAGGAAGACCACCGCAGCTGTGGGAATTCCAACAAACTCAAGGATCAGGAGTGTATTTCAGGACAGCGTGTGTCTGCGCTCAGGTCTAAGCAGCATCCATTGCCAGAATCAGAGGGAATGCCCATCCGTGACGAGGGCGCCCCAGCATGTCACTCCACAGCTCCGGAAACTCGCCCCACGGGAGACAGCCGCTCTGCACTGTGTGGTCAGCAAGCGCCATCTCCCAACGAGGGAGACTCGACAGGCGCCCCAACACTGCTGGCGGCACCGGCCAAGGACTGGGAGAGGTCTGAGCGTGTGACCACAGTGGGTCAGGACATCCTGCGTGAGCGAGCAGAGCGCAGAGGGCCACCATTAACTGAGTCCACTCAGCCCCTGCTGATGGCTGAAGGGGGTGCCAGCCAGGACGTTGGTGAGAACAGACCGGCCTCCATATATGAAGGCCCCCAACCAAGTATCAAAGCCCCTGGACGAGGGACAGCCACAGGGGTCACCAAGAGCCACACAGCACCAGCACCAGGGAACACTGTGGACCCCAAAATCAGTTCTCCTGAACAGGGGAGCCCTTTGCACAAGAGAGAACCTGGCTCCTCACCGACAGGTCACAGTCTTGTCGCAGAGGGTCTCGGCCATGCACCCAACAGCCACCTCTTCTCGGCACCAGGAGGGC